TTCATGTAAGTCCTGTTATTGATCCCTTTTCATCTAAAAGAAGTTACTTTCTTTGCATGTGAATACCCATTTCTACCACCATAGGTTGAATAGCAATGATTTGCAGATAGTTGAAGCATATATTCAATTGCCAGAAACTTTTTGAAGGGGCCTAAAATGTTAAGCAACTTTTTGTATATTAGTTGAAAAGTGTATCATTATATATTATTATTTAAACACTAATAAAAATCTAAATATCACAAATTTTGATATGTTACTTACAATAAACATAAAACTTTTATTCAAAAACTATCAAAATCTACTCCAGTGATATCAGAAAAAAAGGTCATATAAAATAACAGCATTTAATATATTACTGTCAAGACATTGAACAATGTTTTATCAAAGAAACATTAGAAATAACGTAAAGAAATAACAAGAAAAAATAAAGTAATAATAAAAGAAGTTACTGTCTGCCTTATATTTTCATTTGGAGAAAGGAGAATGGCATAAGTTGGAATGTCCAAATAGGTGGACAGTAGGGAGTGCTTATATTCCTGGCCTGTTGCATTTGTCTCTTTGTTGTCTCATTTCTGTTCTCCTACAGGCATTCTTCCTTGTGTTCCACTCTGGGAATGCTGAATTTGGAAGTGATAGGGAGGAAAAGTAAGTCAGCAGTTTTGGGGTTAGCCAAAAGTTAGTGGTTTTTGGGTGGCCATGTATAACAAAAATACAAATGTAGGAAACAGGATTGAGTTAAGAATTTTCTGTTTAAAAAAGAATTAGATCACAGCTATTTGTAGGCAGCTCATTGGAAGGGCAACTATAACATTTTTTATCCACTAAGCCACATTGGATTTCTTTATATATAGGCAGTTAATATTTATGTTCTAAGCACTCTCTTTCCAGTTAAGCTCTGTACTTTTTGGGTTTATTTTTTATTATTTCAGATAAAGTCTGAAGAGTAGGATATAGATTGAATATATATTATAGAATTCTTTTGTTATTATTATTTTTTTTTAAAGACTTTTTTGAGAACAGTTTTAGGTTTACAGAAAAATTGAATGGAAAGTACCAACAGTTCCCTTATACTTCTTAATAATACTCTCCACCTTCCCAGTTTCCCCTATTGCTAACATCTTGCATTAGTTGATATATTTACTGCAGTTGATGAGCCAATATTGATACATGACTGTTCACTAAAGTCCATAGTTTACATTAGGTTTTATTCTGTGTTGTACATTCTTTGGATTTTGATAAATGTATACTGGACATGTATCTACCGTTACTATATCCTAGAGTAGTTTCACTGCCCTAAATATTCCCTGTGCTCCACCTGCTCATCCTTTTCTCTCTTTTCTCAGACCCCTGGCAACTACTGATTGTTTTACTGTCTCCATAGTTTTGCCTTTTCTATAATGTCATATAGTTGGAATCATACAGTATGTATGATTTCAGATTGGCTCCTTTTCAGGTTGACTTCTTTCATTTAGCAATATACATTTAAAGTTCCTCCATGTCTTTTTTTGGCTTGCAAGCTCATTTCCTTTTATTGCTGAATAATATTCCATTGTTTAGATGTACCACAGTTTATCTAATCACCTTCTGAAGATTATCTTGTACATAAACTAGATGTGCATAAAGAATATACATAAACATTCATGTACAGATTTTTGTGTAGATAGTAGTTTTCATCTCATTTGGGTAAATAACAGAGAGTACAGTTGTTGAATTGTATGGTAAGACGGTTTACTTTTGTAAAAACTGCCAAACTTTTCCTTTGTGACTCAGTTGGGCATCCTGTGCACCGAAAGGTTTCCAGTTCGATTCCCAGTCAGGGCACATGCCCGGGTTGCAGGTTCATTCCCTGGTGGGGGACATGCAGGGGGAAGTTGATCGATGTTTCAGTTTCACATAGATGTTTCTCTCCCTTTTCGTTCCTCTCTAGAAATCAATAAAAATATCTTAAAAAGTTAGTAAAATTTGTTCTCTGTAGAAAGTATATAGTAAAAAGGAAGATAGTAAAAATTCATATGTAATGCCACCTTTCAGAGGAAAAATCATTGGTAACATTTTGATATTTTTTCTTTGTGCAACCATCTCTCTCTTTCTCCCTCCCTCTCTCTCTCAGACACACACACACACACACACACACACACACACATTCAAGGTATCCCCCCAAAATGTATATACACTTTAACAGCTGATTCTATTACATTTTGAAAATGAAATGTATTTTAATAAACACTGCCTTTTTAATTATTCAAAGTGTATATACATTTTTTGGGACACCCTGTGTGTGTGTGTGTATATATGTAAATGGCAGTAGTGGAATCATAATATATTGTACCTTTCATGTTTACTTATCCACACGTGATTAGCTTTTCCTATGTCATTCTTCTAGAATAGTGGGTTTTAACCTTGGCTGATGTTAGGATCACTTGGGGGAGCTTTTAAAATTTGTGATGCTCAGGCTGCATCCTAGGACAATGAAATAAAAAATCCTTGTGAATGGACCCAGGCATCATACTTTTTAAAATTTCCCAGCAATTTCAGTGTGTACTGAAGATTGATAACCACGGTCTAGAATATAATAGAATCATTTTTAAGAAAAATATAATTACCAAAATTTTACATAAAACATGATATTCTTTTTATAAAGTTCAGAACAGCCATATACACACACACAGACACATACACACACATTCAGATATAGATATGTAGATATAAAGGAGATAAAGGGAATGATAGGTAGCTACAGGATTCAGGATGATGGTTACTTTGAGTTGAGGCAGGGGGATGACAGGTTGGTGGTTGGTGGGATTATAGGTTAAATGTAGATTATATTTAAGGTCCTAGTTTTTGTTTTGGGTAATTGCTTTCTGGCGTTTATTAAATTATTATCTATAATTAAACAATTGAGTGAATAAATAAAACTGGGCTGTTCGTGGATCAATGATAAGAACTAAGCAATATCATTAAACGAATTCTTTGTTCCAGAGGCCCAGTAAGGAAAAAAAGTAATCAAAACTGTTACTTCCTCCTTATAAGTATATCCAGTTGCATTTAAGTATCACAGTGGCAGGATACCCAGTGCCATTCACTTAAAAAATGAATAAGCTATTCCTTAGTCACCAGAGATTTTACATACTTTCTTTTTTTCTGAAATTATACATCTATTCCACTTTCCTTACAGAGGTTTATCCCAATGCCATTGGTCAAAACAACAAATATATGATAAATTTTGATAAATAATCATTTACTATAAAGTAATATTTTATTAGAAACTCATATCTTAATACAGGGAATGGGCTGTTACTTGTCGTGTCTTGACTAAAGGAATTGTCCCCCATCTCCCATATTTTTCCCCTGTGGAGCACTCACCATATTAAGATGGGTAAGGATTGGTCTTTTTCTTATAAAATGAGAGAAAGGAGATCCTGTAAAAGAGACAGGAATGGAGGACCCCTGCTACAGGCATCTGCTCAAGCAGGTCTGCTTTAGCGATCTTTAACATATGGAAGTTAAGGATCTGGAAATTAATTCTTTTAAGATTATCCACGTCAGAGTAACCTAGAGGTATGTCTGCCTTTGGAATTTGCATGCCAGGAAGGTTCAGAATGACCTATGGGCTGAAGGAAGCAGATATGAGAATGTATGTGTATATATGTGTACATACTTACACAGAGTTAACTGAAACAGCATATATACGTGTGTAATTCTTCATATTTATCTCATCCTTTAAAATTACTTTTGTATGATTAAACATACATAGCTATGAATACATATATGTCTTTTATAAGCAAATATATGTATATTAGAATATGTAGTCAGTATTTAACTTTTTATTTTGAAATAATTTCAGACTTAGGAAAATGTTGCAAGAATAACACAAGTTGTCATATATTCTTTTACTTGGATTTCCCCAATGTTAACACTTACCACGTTTGCTTTCTCATTCTATATTAATATTATTTTTCCCTGAATCATTAAAGAGTAAATTGAAGTATTGACCCCTAAATACTTCATACTTCAGAGTGTATTTCCTAAAATCCAGGATGTTCTGTTACATAACTACTGTGTAATGGTCATAGTCAGGAAACTAACACTGATGATCTATAGATTGTATTCAAATTTTATCAGTTGTCCCAAAATGTCATGCATTTCCCCTTAACCTTTTCTGGTCTAATATCTAATCTGGGATCATGTGTTACATTTAGTTATCTTGACTGTACTTTCCACTCTCCTCTAATCTGTAATAGTTCTCAGTCCTTCTTTGCCTTTCATGATCTTGACATTTTAGAGCACAGCTCAGTTACATATATTAGAATATGTGCTCAAATATTTTTACTGATGCAATGTGTGATAAAACAATGAGAAGAGAATGAGAGAAAAAAAACTATTGGTTGCTTAGCCGAAGGTAAGGACTGAAAGTATTGAACCAGTGCGTCCAAACTGATTGTTATATGATTTTCATTTTCAAAACCACTGATATCAATGAGATAGATGATGAAAATTGAAATTTATGGAAATATGAATATAATATTCCTCTCTTCACTGATTAGACATGGAGCATAGAGTTGACTGAGAGGGTCATGTCCTATATATCCCCTTCCTTGCATGGAAAGAAAAAATACTGAGGGAGAGCAAAGCTAACAGAAAACTACCTCTCAAAAACATTATTTTTTCCCAGAAGAGTAGAAGTAATTTCTTAGGAGCTGGAAAATAAATCCAGAGATACGTAACACCTATTTCATGTTCAGAACTGCCCTAAGAAAACAGAACAAGGGATAGAAAGAATGAGGGGAACTTGATTTGGGGAGTTTGATTTAAATGTTGATTTGTCTATCCCTGGCCCTGTGGCTCAGTTGGTTGGTTGTCATCCCATGCACCAAAAGACTGAGGGTTCGATTTCTGGTCAGGGCACGTACCTAGGTTGCAGGTTCGATCCCCAGTCAGGACGTGTGCGGGAGGCAACCGATAGATGTCTGTCTGTCTCTCTGTGTGTCTCTCTCTCCCTCTCTCCCTCCCTTCCTCTCTGTCTAAAATCAATAAAAAAACATATCCTCCGATGAGGATAAAAAATAAATGTTGATTTGTCTATATCAAATTTTCATAGGTATTCGTTAAAGAGCAGAGTTTTGATTTGAGGTTTAAAACTTGGTCTTTGACCCATCTGAACTCTTGCATTGGTTTAGTTTGCAAGTGCAAACATGGTCTTTAAAGATAGTATGTAGTTAGGGTAAATGCCCGGTTCTGTCCTCCATTTGCAAATGTTTTCTCACTATCATGGATTTGTAGCACTGATGCCTTAAATTAACACCCATATGGAGAATACATTATGAGTGGATATATATGCGTATGTTATAGCACCTCTTCTTTGAGGAGCTGGAAACATCACCCTGAATTTTAAAACTGTACATTTTTACAGAAGGGGCTTAATGTCAGAGAAAGCAGAAGCAGCCTTTGGATTTTGGATTCTGTGTTTTACTTCTGACCTTGGTTGATTCACTGTGGGCCTCAGTAGTCCAATTGGAAAATGGGAAAATAACAAATAAGCCTTTCACTGTGTGCAGGCAAAGGAACTTCCTTTGGTTTGCTCTGGGAGTCATTATTTTATGAGACATTAAGAATATAAAAATAATAAATCGGAAGGAAAGAAAACTCAGTAAGGGGAACAAATTGCTGGTGGAGATTGACTTTAGTAAATAGTAACATTTAACCATATTAACCAGAACATCAGTTTTTTTCTTTTAGTTAACTCTGTAGGCTTACTTTGAAAAGTGCTGCTATGTGAAAAATAGAACATGTAAGAAAGGTATTAAATATTATTTGAGCATTATTGCAACTTGGCTGTTAAAACTCATGGCAAAAATGGTGGTTATACTTGATTTGAAATTCTTTGATCCATGCCTCTAATCGCAAGACCAACAAATTTATATACTTCTTAGGGGATTTCTAGTGGGCAGCCTGAACCTAGTCTTCTCTTCATCTACTAGGATGTTAGAAGTATGTGTGTGTGAGGAGTGGGCAAGGAATTTAGAGGATGTTTTTTGAGATACTATATCTTTTATGCAGATCTGGAAGCTTGGAGTTAGCAAGATAGAGTTTTATTTTTATCCACATTTTATTTTCTGTGTTTCAAATATGAGATTTTTGAGAAATTGGAAAAAAGTATTAAGGCTTTGACAGTGCAGGGTATTTTGGTCGACTGCTTCTGAGTGTTTTTAAGAACTTGCATACAGCATCTGTGATCCACTATGTGAGAATTTATAGCACAGCACTTTATTTTTTCTGTCATGACTTTTGTGAGAAAATGTTTTCACTGTGCTTAGTGATTTACAGATGACTACCCACGTTTTGTTTTGTTTTGTTTTGTTTATAACTGTTAATGCTTTGCAAAGTCATACATTTGGGACTTTGAGGATGTTGGTTTCCACATATGCTGAAATCACTTTGAGTCCATCATTTCAAGAAGATACAGCCTATCTTTTCTTTTTTTCTTAACTGCTTCAGAGTCTTCATGGGTAGCTAAGCAGAGCATTTATTTCTCTGAAGTTGAACTGTGTTTGTTCCTGAGCTTCCTGAAAGCAGAAATGCCATGAGCTCTTTCTGATGAAACCTGTTGGATTTCTGGAGGAAGCAGCTGGAATCTTTGGCTTGTTAACTAACAATGATTCAAGTCTTGCAGATTGTAAAGGAGCTGGTGACACCATCGAGGCAAAAGGCAGCCACAGTGAAGGAAGGTAGGAACAGTATTAGAATGAACAATTGGAGCACTTTAAGGCACTCAGAGTTTTACAAATATAGACCTAAAGAAAAGATATAAAAAAGGAGTTTTAAGTTATCATGTATGCTTTTGCACTTCTGATATAATATGGCATCTGAGAGAATCAGGTAATGGCATAGCTGTTAACACTCCTCATTATTATTGTTTTTAGACCACACATTAGAAACATATTATATTAGAAGGTACAAAGAGTAAGGAGAGGTTATAACATATCTGCTGCGACAGTATTTTTCACATTGTAAAGGTGCTCTTGCGTTATGTATTTGGAGGGAGGAGAACAATTTATATAATCTTCCTTTTAATTTTAAAGTGTAAATGTTCATGGTAGAAATCAGAAGGGAGCAAGCTAGGATTTTACCTGTAGCAGGACAAAAGAACTAGATGGTTCTTATTATTGTGAATGGCTGATAAAATAGTAGTTATAAGTATGATTAGACAGTGAATGGTAGATTTTATTGCATTTCTCAGTGAATAATTTTTTCTGTTTATGATTATAAGCTTAAGCAATGCTGTTTTAGATTTAAAACTACTTTTAAATCTAAAGAGTACTCCTTAGTACTCCTACTTTTATAGCCTGTCTCAGTTTGGGATATGCTGAAATATATTTTCTAAATCTTTTCTTTAATTGCATGTCTGACTTACAATTCTTAAAATGAACTAATGCAGATATACTTGTATGTTTTGCTTTTTAAATATTTGAAATAGTAAATCTCCAAAATGACAATTAGGAATTGATTTTAAAAATATAGGCCATCAATAAGTTTATATTACTGACAATTTCACTAATTTAATCTATGGTTTAAAATCAGTTAATTGATAAATTTATATATATATTTCATATATGTAAAATATACCTTTCTGTCTTTATGTATTTGAATAGCATAATTCAGATGATACAAAATGTAAATTGTTTTGGATTTTTAAAAACTTGTCATCATCTGTGTTTAAAGTAAAGCTTATGAGATTTCTTAAGTCTCAAGTAAAATGATTTAGGGTCATGGTATGAAATAATATTGTTACATATAGTATAATCAACCAACAGAATATTACAGCTGAAAAAAATCTTAGAAATCTTTGTATTCTCATTTTATGGGGAATATATGGTACTTACATGGACAAAATGCACCTCAAAAGCACAGAAACTATTGTCATTTACCTTTGAAAGTATGATAGTATTATTTAGAATACAGTTATTTACCTCCTGTTTTCTACTTTATTTCTCCTCTGATACAGAAACAGGAGGAGAAGTAAAATAGAAAGACTGCATTCCTGCCTCTGAATAGCAGGATTCTAATATTGTTTGAAAAGTTTATTGCTTTTACAATTTCAGGAGAATATAAATTAGTTAATTTAATCCCAGTTTTTTTGAAATTGTTAGATTCATACAGTTTGATCTTTACAGTCAGAATTTGTTTATTGGAATATTTTTTCTGCTTTATGTTTTCAGTCACAATCATGGTTACTTGGAATATACCCAGAGAAAAGAATAATAATATTCTTCTGGTGTTTTAAAATGCACACACCTGCGTGTGCGCGCACACACACACACACACACACACACACAGTGTAATAACATTTGACAGGAAATACCATCTGAATGTAGAAAAAAGTGGTACTAAAAGATACTATATACTAAAGTAGTAGAATGGCTTTTGTTCCTAGATTTTTTCTATTTTTTTTCTATTACCTGAGAAATAGGAGCACTTATACATAGATTTTTTTTTTTTTTAAAGAAACTTGTTTTTCAAACCTATTCTAACAGTATTTTTAATCATTTAGTAACGTATTTACTATTTTACCCTTTTGTAAAATATTGTTACATTTTACCAGTTTTTAATATTAATAAATGGCAAAGCCCTACAGACAGATATAAATGACCCATAAGAAGAGTTTTGACTCAGTTCTTTAAAATGTAGTATAAATTTGATGGATATAGAGAGAACATTTCAAAGTATTGTATTCACATTTAATATTAGAATATTAGTAAATAGTATGGAAAAATTGATTTGTGAAAGAAAGGATCAAAGTTGGAGGTGAAATAATTATGATAAATGGCTTGAAAAGTTTTTATTCATTTTTTGTTGGTATGAGGTAGTAAGCAAACTTGATACACTATATTATAAGTAGGACCCAAGGTATGGTTAAGAATTGTTTTGGGGAAGGAGGGAAATTATGGAATATTCATGAATATTTTCCCTAAAAATTTCAAAACATCTGCTAAATCACTGCTTTGTCATTTAGTTGAAGTATCCCAACCTGCCCAGCACTGAGTGAAATCCAATGCTAAGAGTTCATGTTAATGCTCTTTAAGAAACTTATAATTTTGCAAGTTAGCATTATAAGAAAGGGAGAGAACTAACATCGTTGTTTGAAGGATAATTTTAGTGGATCCACATTCTTTATTCTAATGTTGCAGTGGGGAAATGATTGACAGTTGTAAGATAGTTGAAATGGATTGGAATAGATGTTCTGTAATACAACCTTGGGCAAAATAAAGGAAAACTAGGCATAAGATAACTGGCCTTTGGTAAAGTATCCTTGCCTTAGGAAAGAGGGTCAAATATGCAGGAATATATACATTCATTTGTTCATTCATCATGCTCTCATTCATTCATAAAACCCTTGTCAGGTGTTCAACGTTTACAAGTCACTGTGGTGGTCACTGGGGATAGAAAATAAGATAGAATCCCTGTTCATGCCTGCAGCACGTAGACACTCAGCTATTTATGGAAGGGAGGGAGTAAGGGAGGAAGGAAGGAAAGAAAGAAAGGCAGGTAGGTGTGTTAAGACAGTCTAGTCTAAGAGGTATTATACACAGGGCAGAATAGTAGGTTGTATGTTCTGCCGTGAGGTCATCATGGGCAGAATTAAAGCAATTTGATCGTGTGAACCAGAGAAAGAGATGGGATCAGTGATTCTATGCCAAATGGAAAAGTAAACTGTCACAGTTTCCTCTGGAATGTCCTAGTTATCCTGCATCTCGAGGGCCCAGCTTGACTAGGTTGGGAAGGGAAACACCATGGAGCAGACCTATGTAAAACCATGCAATCTATTCAAATGTACCTTAGGCACCAATGTAATCATTGTAGTTGTATATTATTGAGGAGCCTGGTTTTCTCCTTTAAAAGCCTCACGTTAAAAGAAAATAAGTAAAAGCCTTATGTTTATTTGGATGAAACCTCCCTCCCAGCCTTGAACCCCCCAACAAGCTCCCTCATTGGTGCCCTATGGAGCACGCCCCCCCTTGTGCTCCCTGCTGATCCCATCCCCTCCTTTGGCTCCTGCTCCTGGGCTCCAGTGAGTCTACCTGACACCCCTATCCCTGTTAGCCCCTCTGGTGTGTGCCCCCCCACCTTGCGATCCCTCCCCATTGTGTGCTCCCTGCCCCCCCACTTGCTGTACACTCCCTGGCTATACCCGCTTGGCTTTTGCCTGGGTATTTGGGCATCCGCACACTCCACCCCTTCCTGCCTGCCCCACTCTGTGCCCCCTGCGATTGGTGCTGGCACCTAGGCAGGAGCTTGTCCATGTGCCTCCCTGAAGCCTCCACTGCCATGCTTCTCCTCGGTGCTGATTGGAGGGTGCCCATGCACCCCCCCCCCATCCTTTACTGTTTGCTACCTGGCCAGCTCCCTTTGTCTTTTGCGCTGTTACCTGGGTCTCTAGCGCATGCACAGGACCCTGCCTGGTGCAGGGGCAACTCTCCCTGATTAAGGGTTGAGAGCCAGACCTGTGGCTGGGCTTGGAGCTGACAAGGGTCAGTATGGACAAGGACGTGCTGGCCACTCTGAAGATCCTCATCTGTCAGGGAGAGTGGTGGGCAAATCTAGCCTGCTCTTGCAGTTCATAGAGCAGCAACAACAGGTGTTGACTTTAAGGTGAAAACTATTTCAGTGGATGGAAATAATGTTAAACTTGCAACATGGCAGAGGGGCAGTGTGAGAGATCCCTAGAATTGAAGCAAAATTGAGCTCAGTGCTCTTCCTGGAGATGGAGAAGGGATGAGAGTAGTCAGTGGTGAAATGTTCCTGCACAAAGTGTGGTTCAGCCTTGGCCCGACTCTGGATGGGGTGTGCTGCTCCTCGAGGTCCTCTTTTTCATCCTTGGACTGTAAATCAAGCCAGTGCCCACAGCGACTGTCAGCTGTATGGATGCTAGCAGGAAGACCTAGTTGGTGCGAGCCCACCTCCCATCGCAGCCATTGGAAGGCCTGGGAGAGCAGAGCCTCCAGGCAGTTAGTGTGGCAGTGGCACCTCTCAGGCACTTCATTTTCCAGACTGTGATATGGTTAGAGATGACCCCCATCTCACCCTGCAGTGAGAATGTGACTCCTGCTCAGTCAGTCCTAGTGGCTTTGGGCACTACCCTGAAGCCCAGCTCACCTCAGGTTCCTGGTCCAGACTTGACACCAAGAGCAGCTCTGACTTCTGCCTTTACAAGGTGGGAAGATCCACCTGTGCATCCAAGTTTGGCCCAGGCCCCACTAGTTCTTGTTTTGCTGAGGGCTCAAGCTTACCTCTGGGGCAACCTTAGAAGGATTGAGGCTCATTTTGGGTAAGGAAAGGCCACGTTCTCAAACACCACAGTAGATTGGAAAGTAGCTGCTGGACCAAGCACCTATGTCTACCGCAACGGACGGTTTCCTGGGGAAATTCTAAGACATCTGTTTGCACCTGGATGCTGGAGCTTCCTTGGGGAGCATGTGGTGACTAGAAACCTGACTAGCCTTAAATTTGTTTGCGGTGAGCCTGTCCTCTGAGGAGTTCAGTTAATACAAGAAACACTTTAAATGCAAATTATATGTGTGCCTGTCCTATACACCCCTCAAGTTATTGGGAGAATTTGGCTTGTTCACAGGTGTGCACACACACATACAAATGGCAGATACTACGTGTTCTGAGTGGTAGCTTTTACCTTTTTGGGGATTATTCATTAGCACAGTTCTCAAGTAATGCT